GACCCGCCTACGTGGCACCACCACAAATCAGGATTCCCTTTTAATTTATTTATTTTCAAAATTAGTTTTTTCCTTTTATGAAAAGTTGCAACTTTTATGAAGAGTTGAGATTTTTATAAAAGGGTGTGACTTTTTCAAAGAGTTGTGACTTTTTCGATAAGACACAATAAACATTTATTCACAATACCCTTTATTGTCTATAAATAAAAAGACTTCCTCTCATTTTAGAACGATGAAAATTCTGTTGAGTGACTTAGTGACGCCATTGTTTTTGTATCTTTACACATGTGAATAGAATCATTCTATCCTGAGAGGATCTATTTCTTTAAACCTCGGAAACTAAAGGAGAATAATTTCTTTAAGGGGACAATGTGTATTAAGTGGACTCAATTTTTTCCTATTTGTTTCATTATTGTTACAAATTCTAGTATGTTTTTTATAGTCATTACTTTATGCTTATGTTATTAATTGTTGTTTTTGAGTATATTTTTAAAATTTATTATATATTATCTCTTATAAACATTAGATTAAAATTCACAAACACTAAAATTTTAATCATATTTATCGAAACGTAAACAAAAAAATATGTCTTTCGGCTATCAAATAGTGTCATTGATTTCAAATGATTTGAATAAGGGACTTGCCAAGACATCATTTAAATTAGACTATTTGAGCGACATAAGCTATTCCATTGAACTCCATGAGATGTGTTTTAAAATTTTAATTAATTTATCAAGAACACAATTAATTATATAAGATGTAATATATTTAGATCTTGTATGTAGAGGCCTTGAATAGTAGAAAAACTCTCGCAATTGATGAATAAAATATTTGTATCACTTTTTGAAAATACAAATATAGACAATGAAACAATTACATATCTTTTTTAAAGACTTTGGTGATGAAAAACTATAGTAAAATGAAGAATAAATAACAAAATGAATACACTTAAAATCTTTTTTTTTTGGTTTTAAGATTTAAGAATTTTATTTCAGTTTTGGATAAATATTCTTGACAATTTATCATAGGATTGTACCCACTCGAAAACACTTATATTATCAAATGTTCAACAGTAGATCATTGATGCAGTTCAACACCGCGTGAAGCGCCGACAATTTACCTAGTATATATATAAAAGAGAACCTTAAGTCCGCCTACATGGCGCAACCACAAACCAATTTTTTTTATAATTTATTTATCTCCAAATCTAGTCTTTTTTTTTAATGAAAAGTTGTGACATTTATGAAAAGTTACAATCTTAATGAAGAGTTATGACTTTTATGAAAAGTTGCGTCTTTATGAAGAGTTCCGACTTTTATGAAAAAAATGTGACTTTTATGAAAGATTGTGACCTTTCCGAAAGGTTGCAACTTTTCCAAATGGTTCTAACCTTTCAGATAAGGCACAATAAACATTTGTTCACACTACCTTTTGTTGTTTATAAATAGAGGAATTTTCTCTCATTTAAAAACAAAGAAAATTCTGAACCTCCTCCTCTTCACAATTAACCATTTGTGTACTTTGCTACTGTTGAGTGGCTCATTGTCACAATTGCTTATGTTACAGATTCTGGTATGTATTTCAACACCCTAAACCCTAAACCCTAAAAAATTTCCATTATTAATGTTTGTTACTACTAATCTTGTATGTAAGATAACATAGTGTTATAGTTTTAATGACTGATAGATTTTAAGAATTATTTTATAAATTGTGTTATATAAGTGAATCCTAGGCCCACCTTTGTGGTGTCACTAAAAACTAGGATTCTCTTTTAATTTATTTATTTTCAAAATTAGTCTTCTCCTTTCATTAAAAGTTGTGACTTTTATAAAAAAAATTGTAACTTCTATGAAAAGTTGTGACTTTTATGAAGAGTTGCGACTATTATGAAAGGTTGTGACGTTCATGAAAGGTTGTGACCACCTTTCCGAAGGATTGTGACATTTCCAAAGAGTTGTGACGTTCATGAAAGGTTGTGACCACCTTTCCGAAGGATTATGAAATTTTCTAAGAGTTGTGACCTTTTCGATAAGACACAATAAACATTTGTTCACATTACCCTTTGTTGTCTACAAATAGAGGAATTTTAAAGGAACAAAAATTCTGAACTTCTTCTTCTACTACTACTACTGTACACTTAAATATTCGTGTACTTTGCTCCTGTTGAGTGGCTTACTGACACTATTATTTTTGTATCAATATGTTGGTGAATAAAATCGTTCCATCCTGAGAGGATATAATTCTTTAAATCTCATTTGAGGAAAATGATATTCTTAAGGGGACATTGTGCATTCAGTGAACTTGTTTTTTTTTCTTTCTATTTCTTTCTATTTTTTTGGTCATTTTATTTATACTTATGATATTAATTATTGTTCTTGAGTATATGTATTAACTTTTGTTGCTTATGTTTCTGCAAAATTGATGTCT